GATACTTCCGGACAGCCCCCGGCAGAAGCTACTCCTTTGGCATCCCCGTCGCGCCCACCCTACGGGAGCGCGTCCGGGCGGCCAGGCTGCACAGAGCTTTGCAGCGCCGGCTCAAGCAGGCGCCCTGGGCGGCTCGGGGCAGAGTCCTGCCGCTCCTCTCCTACAGCCCTCGGGGAGCAGTGCTGGAGAAAGGCTTCCTCGTGCAGGACGAGCAGGGGCTGCCGGAGACGCAGTCCTTTTTGGAGCAGCTGTTGAGTCTCCTGCTCCCAGCGCCAGCCCACCTCTCGGTGTACGAGGAGGCCGCAAGCGGCGAGCTCTGCTGCGCCTTGTGGTGTCTTCAGGGGGCAGGAAGGGGTAAAGAGCTGCTTAGGAGAGCTCCAGTGGTGGCCGCTGAAGAACCGGAATTCCATCCTGCCATTCCTCACCTTCTCGGTGATACCGTGTTCAGCTCTCGGGAAGCTGCCTGCGAAGTGCTAGAGGAAGTAAGTGCCCTCCTGAAGGCTGGCTGTGGAAAACAGCAGTTCCCTACAGCCAGATCTCCTTTCCAGTGCATAACTTGAAATCTACAGAAGGAGGAAGGGTGTCTCTGAGCAGGTAGTAACTAGGTAGAGAGTAACTAGGTAGCTCCTGTGGGTAGAGTGGAGGAGGTTTGATAGGGCTGGAGATCATACAGGGGAAACACCTCGGCTTGGTCGAATCAGTAATGGCACAAACTGGTGGGCACTTTTTTCGTGATTCCAGAACTTTGGGTGGTTTGAGGGATGATGAGGTAGGATTGATGTTGCAGCCACAAAGTTTGCCTTTTTTTTTTTTACAGTGTCAAGGTGGAGCGTGAAGAAGGTAGACTCAGTCAGATCATCTAGGTCAATGTTTCTCAAACTTGACAAGGGGCTGGGGAATTCTGGGAGTTGAAGTCCACATGTCTTAAACTTGCCAAGCTTGAGAAACACTGATGTAGGTGCTAAATCAGGGTTCCTCAAAGTGGTCAATATCAACTGCTAAGGGTTGATATTATTATTATTCATAGTACTATTAAAGCAGTAAAATTTTATTATTTTTGTGTAATACAGTAAATGTTTGGGGGTCAATAAACAATCTGAACCTTCACAAAGGGGTTGATGAGCTAAAGAGTGTGGGAACTCTTGTGCTAAACAGACCTTGTGATCTACATTGTCTGCTCCTGCAAGATGCATAACCCAGTGACCCAGTTAAATTGCCATACTGGTGGCAGTGGTAGCAGCAGTCTTACTAAATGGGTCAAACGTTGTCACGGTTCCTCCAGGAAGCCTATGACTTCTTGAGCCTTCACAGCTGGAGCATAATGGCAAGGTTTCATGATATCACTAGCTCCACCATTTGGGCCAATAGGCAGCAGTTGGCCTGGCTGCTGTAGTCAATCAGTGTTTGAGAGGAGTATTCTGTGCTCTCAGCACTTGGCAGTAAATTCTGACATGGAGAGGCCTGCTTTTCCAATCAGTCATTCCTATTCTTTTTAAAGGACTGGATACGACATACAGGTCAACTGATTAGGTTTGCTGTTCTTATAACACAGCTGATGGGTGAGGTTCATATAAACCTGTGCAGTATTGGCTCTGTTGTAGGCTAAAGGTGTTTCCCTTGGTTTTAGTTGCTGGGTTAATTGACTTCTTTTTGTGTGTCCCACAATACATTATGAGAGCCGGTCTGGTGTAGTAGTTAAGGCACCAGGCTGGAAACGGGGAGACCATGAGTTCTAGTCTGTCCTTAGACGTGAAGCCAGCTGGGTGACCACTTCTGAAGTGTTGCCAAGTAAACTGCAGGGACTTGTCCAGGCAGTTGCCAGGAGTCAGAAACTGATTTGAAGGCACACAACACAAAACAAAAAACCTCACAATACATTAATTCCACCTGTGTTGTATGTCTGCTTGAGGAAGAGTCATTAATTCAGGAATGTTTGTTCCATGGCACATTTGGGATATGTAGAAATAATGTATGTCATTAACACATGACTCTTGATGATGCTTGTTTCAATTTCAGTTTCTGTTTTTAATTTTTATTTATTGAACTGTTAAGTAACTGAGTGACATAAATCTGTGATGCACAGAGAATAAAGATATATTTTATTTAAAAATCTGCTAAAAAGACAGAATATACACGTAGATAGTTATATATCTAAAGTGTTACCAGTAGTATATCAGTTGCAATTGTAATAAAATATAATGTCCACCCAAATTTGATAGAATTGTGGTTCCTGCGTCTGGTGTTTCATTATTTTCACTCTATCTGTAATCTTTTCTAACATGGCAGTTGAAGAGGCCTTGTTAATCCACACCTCAATTATTAAATTATCTAAAGTTTTCCAATGTTGGGCAATTATTATAAGATTATAATTAATAAAATTAATAGATTATAAGTTTTATGCTTGAGATTCAGTCTCATAAATAAGTGCAGTAACTCTGGGGAACATTCCATTCTTTGGCTGGTGTGGGTCTTCCGGGCTGTGTGGCCATGGTCTTGAAGTTTTGTTTCCTAACGTTTCACCAGCACCTGTGACCCGCCTCCTCCAAATGCAGGGGCACAAACAAGAGCAGGTTTCTCCTTGCCCCGGGGGGACACAAGAATCCCGTCCACAGTGGTGGGGGAAAAGT